CTGATAAAGTGAAAGTAAAATTGTGTTGTTTTTTTTCACATCATGCATTAAGATAAACTGAAAAATAATATCGATTTTAAAATATACATGTTGCTTTCATGTTGCATCAGATGAAAAATTGATTCATGTTGGCTGAATAAGATGATTTAAAAAATTAATTAGTAGATAAAAGTTTGTATATATATGTAATCATCATGACATACTTTATAACAAATAACAAAGACTAGCTGTTTATACAGATACATTTATAACACTTTTGATAAATGATGTTTACCATTCCATAGTCTATCACTGATTCCTCGCTGTGTTTTGATATTGTTTATGATTATAATTCATAATTTCTATGGCAACATAAATACAAAAAGAAAAACAGGTACGTGTGTATGAATTAAAAAAAAAGATGTGTAATTCTAAATATCTAAAAATGACTTCTTTTGCAGCAGTTCAGGTTACAAGCTACACAGTCTAAACAGAAAATGATTAAAAAGAATGGCATAACTGTATATAAAAAAAAAAATTGAAAACTAAACCTAATATTAAAGAAGTCCAAGCAACAAACCAAATGAAACAAAAGTCAATGACAACTCAAATTGCATCCAAATGAGTAAAAAATAGGAAGCCCATGGGCCACAGTGCTCACCAGATTAACTATGGCCTTTCTTATTCTTCAATAGTTTTCTTTTTCCTACATGTAAAAATTTGATTGCCAATTGTAGCCCTACCTTACACCCAGGTGTCATGATTAAACCACCTGAGATCATGTTTTGAACAACTTGAATCTACACGACCTGTGGATGCTTCCATTTAAAAATGATTATTCATGGCTTTTTTTTTATGATAGTTTTTTAAAAACGTTTTCCTAAGTAATCCTCTGTAAAACTTTGATTGTCAATGGTGTCTTTACCCTATCCCCAAGGATCATGATTTAAACAGACATATATACACTACCTGTTTTTTTTAGAAAAAGATTCATGTACCATATAAGTAGATTTTTTAGCGAAGATTTAATTTTGGCATTATTAGCTAGGGTGCTGACACCACTAAAATTGAATATCGCTAAAAATTAATTGCGTATTATTTGCAATAGTTTCTTTAGTTAGCATTTTTAAATCGCTAAATTTACTTCTCGCTGAAAATAAAATACCATATTTCAGGCAGAAATCGCTAAATTTGTGTCTCGCTAAAATTTCCACACGGTATATATCCTGGGTTTTTATCGATATTGTTTTGTTGATGTGTTTTATTACCTTGAATGGGAAAGAACAATGATGTCATAATAAGAAGTCATAATGTGTATTATAATACCTCTACTGATTTTTCTCTAATATAAAATTAAGTGATTAGATTTGAACAATTCCCTAGAAATCACTGTGAATCGGCTAATCCCCATGCGTTAGTTTTTTTTAGCTAATCCCTCAGTCGAAAGCTAGTCATGATACTTCGCTGTTTGTAACTTTTCATTGTGAAGTGATAAAAGAGTGACACAAAAACAAAATGCTTCATGACATATTCCATATAACAAAATGCAACAAAATAAGACGTAACAAAATGCAATGACTGCATTAGAATTAGGGAATAACTGTCTTCTAATTTGGTATTTGCAACGAATAATGATTAAATAATCCGTAAATGATTATTTTTTTGATGTGTTTTACCTTGAAATTTGTATTGGTATAAAGACAGTATAGTATAATGTGTATTAACTTTAACATGCTGTACTGAATGACGTAGAAAATCAATTTGAACTTTCTTTGTATACCAAATATACATCTTTTGCATTTTTATTAGCTCATTTGCATAGAAACGCCCATATTTAGCCTTAACTTCACGCAAACATTGATAATGACAACAATAAACAAATTTTGATCATCTTTGGCTTTGGCAAGTCAAAAAAGCTGTAACAGTAATGTAAATGCATGAATGAATGCCCGACGTGTGAGTTAAAAATTTTAGGAACACAAAAAAAAGTAATCTATGAGGGTAAATTCTACAGACAAACATGATTCAGATATACCTTTAACAAAGGTAAAGCTTGTTGTGAGTTGTTATCTTCCCGCTAGAAAACAAAATGTGAAGTGTTCACACACTACAAACACAGCCTAGTGTCTGTAAAAGCTGCAGTCTAAGTGACCTCTATGACTATATTTACAAGATTATACCTCTCAAAGCTAACTTATCAAATAATGGACAGATTTTTAAAACAAAAATCTTTTTATACAATTTCTAAGTGAAAAAAAAAAAAAACCCAGACCAGTTAAGTTTAGAATCAAGACATATTTACATTTATAAACTTCTGTGAGTTTCATCTGCACTAAAAAATTTATGGTACCTGACAACTATAGTTACAGTTTCTTAATTTCTGTAACAAAGTCAATATTATACATGTACATGTACTTTTATTGACTGGGTTCAAGTAGTACATGCAATTTGTTGGATCTGAGTATCAAACTGTTTGAGGCAATAAGTTAAAGGCAAACAGTTTAGTTCAAGGGTTTGGAAAAAAGCAATTTGCTTGAAAACATATTCAATGCTTGACTGCTAATTTTGAGATATCTTGTGCTGGCTTCCATGCTTGTGATGAATGATGTATTGCATTTATCCAAACTGTGGATTTATTTTAGTAAGTTCCACATCTGTCCAAAATAATATTGGCTGACCTTGCCAACAGTGTGTTGTAAAAATGTCTTATCCATCCAATATATCTCTCAGCAGTCCAACATTGGAGTTGGTTTTACTTGGAACCGTTCAGTAAAAAACTAATTTGGAAATGTTAGAGTCTTTTTTACGCCCCCGTAAACAAAGTTGCGGGGGAATATAGTTTTTGTCGTGTCCATCTGTCTGTCTCTCCGTCCGTCTGTTTGTCCACAAAAACTTTAACCTTGCCCATAACTTTTGATTTAGTCGACCTATGACTTTCATATTTCACATGTATATTCCTTGTGACAAGATCTTTCTTTGGGAACCACCAAATTTGACCTTTTGACCTTGAAGTTTGACCCACTTTAACACAAAAATTCCAAACTTTTACTTTGGCTAAATCTTTTGAACAGTAGATACCAGGAAATTTATATTTCACTTATATATTCTTTGTGGAAAGAGCTTTTATTGGATACCAACAACCATGACCTTTTGACCTTGGAGGTTTCAGTCCTTGTGAAAAAACTTTAACCTTGGCCATAACTTTTGAATGAAAAGGGATAGGGCTTTCATACTTTACATATGTAATCCTTGTGACAAGACCTTTCATTTGATATCAAGAATTATGACCCTTTGACCTTGACCTTGGAGTTTGACCTACTTTTCAAAATCAGTAACCTTGGCCATAACTTTTAAAGGGTTAGGGCTAAGCCTTCCATACTTCACATATGTATTCTTTGTGGCAAGACCTTTCATTGGATACTAATTACTTTGACCTTGGAGACTTCCATACTGATGAAAAAAAAATTAACCTTGGCCTACTTTCATATTTCACAATTGTATTTCCAGTGAGAATACCCTACTTTGGATACCAATATACTGTGGTATTAAATTTGCTTACTGATGTAAGAAAAGTTTAACCTTTGCTATGTTGCCTTATGTGAGCATCAGTGTTTCAAAAACACATCTTGTTTAGTAAAGCTTTATGTAGTAAACAATATTTTAAGGTAAAACAAAAACCAGTTTTTCCTTTTGTGTAACAATTTAAGGACTGCTGATACGTTCCTCAATAATATATATATCTTTTCCAAGATTTTGTCATTGAAGTATTGTTACTTTAATATGTTTACTCACACAAAATTGAGGTACTTACCAGACATTTGAAAATTTATCATACATAATAAAAGTATACAAAACAGATATTTGAGGAAAGTATCTTCTGACCTTAAAGTTAAAAAGAAGTTTGTTTCTCTTTTGGTTTTAAATTTGACAAGTCTGTTGCAGAAAGAAAAATTAGTACTGAAAATGGTAAAAAAAAATAGATGATTGATGGTTGAATCTCATAAATTCTGAAAACAATTTACAGCAAAAAGATTGGATTAAAAAATTGTGAACTTTTGGATTTATAGTTGCTTTCTTGATGATTATGTATAATACTTTTCTTTGACATACAGGTAATTCACCGACATTTGATGTGTGAAGCATACTATGGAATGGTCCACATCAGCTCACAATATATAAAGTACAAGTAAGCCTTATTAATATACATTGATTCAGAAATTCTTGATAGTGATAGGCACGATCATGCTAAATGCACCAAAAAGTCCCAGGAATAAAATAATACAAAACATGCATCAAATCAGAATATTGGATTATTCTAATAAACATGCTATATTATAAAACTGTGAATTTGGTTTCAGTCACTTGACTATTTTTCAGAATACATTCCTGTATAATAATTCATAGCTAGAGGTCTTTACAGAATCCTTTCCTTGAAAAGCCATAAAATGTGAGTGTACAAAACTTGTTTTTGAAGTCTTGGAGACACTGTGTGTCTGAATTTTTTTATGACATGTATTTATGCATTGTTTATAACATGAGAGCCTCTAAAACTGAAATCAAATTCACCAAAAAGGAAAAAAGAAACAGAAGATAACTCTGACTAAAACAGAGAAGAAATAAGATCATGCGGCAAGCCGTGACAAGCTGAACGCACCGTGGGAGGCTGGGCATCATCTTTCATGTTTTCCATTGTACTGTATTGTCTCTGCCATTTTTTTTTCTACAGCCCAGTAAAAAAAATGAACAACTCATACTAATGTGATTTTATAGAACTGAATCCTTATAAAAGTGTGATATATCTGAAATATACTCTAGGACAAGATAAACAAAATACCCCATATACCAAATTGTCCATCAAAGTTGACCTACTCTCTTTCTGTTAGTGGAATACGAAAATCCTCCTCTAGTAACTAAGTTACATGTAGGGTCAAATATCCATGAAAAGATGCCATACACACTCTGATTTTGTATATCATTATTATCTTGCACCTCTTTCAGAAATATATACTATTTTAAAAAAAGTTTCACTTTTCCGCTATTTGACACTGCTTTTCCGCGATTACATATTTTCCTTTTCTGTGTCTTATTTTCATATGCAACAGTCTCTTCCATTAACCAGCTATAACCTGTTGACCACTGTTAACTTAACAATGATAAAAACAAAGATTAAAAACAAGGTCTAGATACTAAAATATCCACAGAACAAATTGGCATATTTTGTCAGGGGCATAACTCTTATCCAAAACAGAATTTGGCCTAGATATTCACCTGATGTATCTGTATACCAAATTTCATTTCAGTATGTGCAACAGTTGTGAAGAAAATGAACGGAAACTAAATTGACCGACAGACCGACCAACAGACTGCAGAGACCTTAAAAAATTATACTGGTATATTAGTCATAACCATGATTTGTTTCTTCCATAACATCTTAAACATAACACTGACCAGTGTTAAATACAAAATTTATGTGATTTTTAAGTGTAACGGTAAGTGAGAACTCTCTAACCAATATAGAACTCTGGGGGAAATAAAAGTAAATATTAGCAACCATATAAACCTAAGCACTAATCATGACCATATAAATCACGGAAAGGAGGAATCAAATTAGGGAGGCAATGTTTCACATATAGTAGAAATCAATCATGGAAAAGTAATATGAAAAAGTCAGGGAAAGTGGACAGGTTGCGAAAATAAAATCGCGGAAAAGCAGGACAGCCATATGGATTGAAATTTTCTTCAGCTAAATATAATCAAAGTTTTTATGTGAATGAATCAAACTGAAATGAATATTAAAATTATACATAAGAAATGTACTTTAATAAATCTGCATGCTTTAAAAGAATATCAGAATGAAACTGAGTGGAAAAAAATTGATCATAAATCCACCGGGATCAATAAATTCCTAGTCTACATATACTATATACTAACTGTTCCATTCTCAGGCTGATAAGCATGAAAAAATAATGCTTGGTAAGTGTATAACTCTATCAGTATTTAAAAGAAAATGACTGCTCAACAGATCTATTGAAAAATATTTCAGAGAATGATTTACTTTCTGCATTAATGTCATAAGTGATTCATCAACAACCAGGCAAGAGAGATAGAGATAAGAGGTGTGTGTGTGTGCGAGGCTGTGTGTGAGAAGCTTACCCCAGAAGGTCCAGCAAAATTTGTCATCTCCTTCTCATCTTCAACTCCCACTCTGTAACGATAATTTGTGAACTCAAGGTATACATTTGTGATTTATGTTTTTTAAAGCAATATTTAAAGCAATTTCTTTGAACTGGTGAAATGGTTACTTCAAATGATATATGGTTCAGTTTTGAACTTTATGCAATATCCTCAAACAGAATACATTTCATATAACTATGATATTTTTGACTGTCACATGAATTTTTTGATACAGAAAAACTTGTTTATAACTAAGTCACTGGGACCTATGAAATTACTTCACTATATCTGTAATTCGTTATATCCATATAAGAAATTCCTTAAATTTAATATATAGCGGGGATCCAAGATAAATTCGCTATATCCACAAACTCGCAATATCCGTGTTTGTACTAAACAAGTTTTACTGTATATTTTAAAAAGCAATTCCTTTGAACGGGATTTTTTTGAACTTTTATGCAGTATCTTCAAAAACTTACATTTCATGTAAAACCCTGACTGAATCTCAATTCTCACCTGATCTGCAGCCATCCTAACATGGGTGTGGTCAGACCCCCACCAAGTATCACCGTTATTATGACTATTATCATAGTGGCAGACACCATCAATTTACGGGCTTCTGTTGATGTGTTCCTAATAGCAAGGGCGAATGCTATGGCACCCCTTAATCCTGGTAAAGAAATTAATCATCCGTAAAAAGAACAGGTGTGAAGGTCATGGTCACATGTGTTAACAGTAATTCAGATGCTACTCACCAGAAAACATCATCATATGCATGAATGGTCTGCTGATTTTGTTTTTTCTTCCTAGATTTAGTAACAGTGATAATGGATAAATATTAAAAAACCTAGCAATAAAAACAGCCAGCTGGGTAGAGTTAAGGATCACAATTGTCTATCTGTCTGTGTTTCCTGTGTTAGTTGCTCATTATGAACAGTTCAGTGAAAAATGTTATCCTCTGGTACAAACAAGTAAACTTACAAAACACTTCTTTCATGAAGTATACCCTATAAAATCTGTGACAAAATCATTAGTGTGAAGAAAGTGTACTGTGTATGTGTCTGCTTGAAGTTGATCAGTGAGTACATGTTAAAATATACATGTATACAAAAGTCCTTGAATTATACCAATAAAAGTCAATAATCAAAGGATACAATGGCTGATAAAATAAAGAATATGTTCCACTCTTGTGAGTGAAATGTGAACACTGCTACTCCAATGTACAGAAAAACAAAATTTTCTGCCAGGAAATTCATTAATTCAAACAGCTGAAAAAGATGAGAAATAATACAATTTCAATTTTGACATTCATATTCTGCAAGGTTATGACTTTGTATATTTACAGATGTAACAGATAAAAGCCTCACAAAGAGACAGACAGACCTGTTTGGTCCTGATTTTGGACTCTATGGAGAGATTATTATAAGTGTAATGGGCTTGTGTAATCCCACAGAATAACACTGCTACAATGCCTGCAAAAAACAAACAAAACAAAGTGATAAAAGAAAAGCTAGAGGCAGTTTCTCAGAATTTTTTTTAAAAAGTACTATTGATAAAATAAAATCTGCTTGACAGCATGTCTTACAAGCAATTTAAACAGCATTTATTTCAGTAAGTGCAAATCTAATCACATGATTATGCATACAGTATATCTTTGTAGTGATCATAATTAAGTCCAAGGAAAGAAATCATGCAGGCTGCTAAATACATGTATATCAGTACTACTTAATTAAATAATGATACAGAATCCGAGGCCCATATTTAAAATAATTGATTTAGAAATATACAAGACAATCAAAATAAGATTTGTGGTGACTGGTGACAGATTATTCTTACCCGTAAGACCTGCAGCTTCACACGCCTGGAATGACATGTATGACATCAGAAAAAACATGGCTGTCTCCAGCAAGGGAAAATCCCGAATCTTTGTGAATTTTGTCAAGTACGTATGTTAAGGAGTAATAATTCATACAGAAAAAGAGTGAAGGTTTAACATTTCACAACAGAAAAGGTTATAATTGATAACATTTACACATTACACATTACATTTTACTCTGACACTAAGGGAATGGCAAGAATTATGCATCTTGCATACTATTTACATGTATCTCACCAATGTATCTAAATTACTGTGGTATTGCAGAACCATCACTCAATCCACAATGAATAATTTTTGTGACTGAGGTAAAGATTCTCTACATTCAAATACAAAGCAACATATTTTCTTCACTGTGGTTAATATTTGTGAGTTTAAGTTGGACTTGAAACTTGTGGATATTTCTTGCATGGAATAAAAGTTGGTTTAGATTATGAAAATAAACAATTTAGAGATGATAAAATAAGGAACATTATCCAAGACAATAAAGGATATAAGGCTTGTGACACATCCTATCAGAGATCCTATTGCAAACGCTCCAGCAAATATCCCCACAAAATTCCCGAGGGACGAGAAGAAGGCGTGGGCACTAAACCCCTGGGATTCCCCCGATTTAGAAGCTGAGGAGCCGTAATTGTCTACTGCCCTGCAGGGAAAAAAAATCAAATTTGGATAATTTCTACAATCTTTATAGATCATTCTTAAACCATGTAATGCAACCAATACTATTTAACCATTATACATAGTAGCTTTCAATGTATATACTGTAAAAGCACAAATATTCGTGGGGGATTAATTTTTGTTTATTTCGTTGTTAACAAACTTCAACGAAATTAAATCCCACACGAAATTTTATCTGACTATATCTTGAATAGGCTTAGTTTTAAAACAATGAAATTAAATGCACACGAAATTATTTTTGATGACAAAACAACGAAATTTTATGCCCACGAAAATTTGTGCTTCTACAGTAAATAAAGTTTGTAACTCAGATATTTTGGATAAAATTTACTTTAATACTTTTTCTTTTTATTTAAATATTTGTCTGCAACAATTTTTTTCTACATTTAAGTCCTTTAACTCAGTTTCTCAATGTTTAAAACATGTTTGAAGTCATCAGAATTTCACTTACCCTGAAAGAACTATGGCAACGGCATCATTTAACACACTTTCACCAAAAATAAAGGCAAACAGATCTACATCAGCTTTCAGATCACTAAAGATTGCCAGCACAGTCACTGAAACAAGATGGTACCTTTAGGCTGTAGTTACATTTTAACATTTATGCAATAAATGACATTGCATCTTCACATCGATTTTTAAAAATCTTCAACTGATTAATAGAAAAAAAATCTTGTTTTGATTTTTAATTTGCTAAGTTTTTCTTTTCCACACCTGAGGTTTAAATAAACAGCCCCTCCTAAACAATAAAATTCTCTCTGATGTAAGTTTGTTACCTGGATCGGTGGCTGAGATTATAGCTCCAAAAAAGAAACAGTCATTTAGTGTGAAGGAGGTCAGCTGCATAAGACGAGTCACTCCATACATGATTCCACTACAAGGAGAACATAACTTAATCAATACATATCTATACATCAATACATTGTCAAGGATCATAAAATACATGAAGTAATCTCTACGTTTTTTGTCTTAAAGGACATACTGTAGAATCACATATTTCGAGGGGTCATATTTTCAAGGTTTGAGGAAAAAATACAGGGATTTAATTTTGTGGTTGGAGAAATATGTAGTAGTAATACATATCAAATTTAACATATTGTGGTGGTCTTAAATTCATGGGTCTCTCATTACCTTGAAAAACAACGAAAATTAAGCCCCCACGAAATTGGTGATTTCACAGTGCATCATAACACTACTGACTGAGATCCCCCCAAATGTACTGCTTTAAGAGAAATAACATATGGAGTTTTTTATCTGATGATCTCTGGCAATGTATTTAATGTGAACACTATCAAAGATTTATCTGGAAACTTTCATCTACGTGTGTTAATACTTGAGGGAAATTAAAAACTAATAAATCTGCATGGATTGGAATTATTATTAATGACAAGCTCATTTAAACTAAATTTCCTTTACAATTTCAATTTAATGTCAATAATTGTACATCACCAATTTAATTGCAACATTTAATTTTTACAAGAAAGTCACATGGTGTTTACTTTACTCCAGCTTTATCAATGAAGTACTCACCCTACAACTACACAGGAAATGGTCGTACCAATGAAAGCAAATGTCATGATTGAACCTAAATTTCGGAAAAAATGCCGCTGCAAAAGAGAAAATTACAAAATGATGAAACATTTGATTTGTTTACTAAGAATCATGTGTAACATACATGTAACAATTGAAATTTTATCAAAATAAATTTTAAAATGAATGACACATGAACTATTGATAAAATGAATGCATCAGAAACAATAGAAACTGCATTTCTAGATAACCTCACAACCTCCAAAGCTAAAGTGGTAAATGATCTTTTTTTCCGAGGTAAACAAAATCTCAATTAAAATATCACCTTTGGTAGAACATTGAGAGAACAAATACTTTTGTTTTATTTTGTTTCTTTTTGTTTCCTTTTTTTACTCTACCTAGAAAAACACGAAACTTACATGTAAAGTTATGTGAACAATAGTACAACATCTTACCCTCTTCATACTGTACCCTGCTTCAAATATAATGAAGGGCAGCAGGACATTGAAGAATAATTCTGGATCAAAAGTCACCTAAAATTTATGAATTGATAATAATATCATTATCACAGTTATAAAGAACCACACTTGCTTATAAGTTTTCTTCATCTTGATGACTTGAAAATAATTCTAAGATCTGCTTCAAAGATAAATCAATTTACCCAGAAAAAAGGAATACAAAGAAGCTATACTTTATCAATCTTAAATGTATCACAAAATTTAAGTACTGAATTGAAATAAATATGTGACCTTGACATTCACCAAGTTGACCTATAATATGGAAATCAACCCCATTCAAAGCCATTATAATATAAAATAGGAGGATACAAACAGGATGAATAAATAAGTCACTGTAACAAGCATGATTTTATGATGATGCAACATCACTTATCACATGATGTCTTATTGACTACCAGTTACGACAGGTTTCTTCATGTGACTTACAGCCATTATGAGTTGTGACATTTTTGTTTCCTGTTCGCTGACCTCCCCCCAGATGTTGTACTGTACAGTAACGCTCCTATTCCTGTCGGCCAGATCCAGAAGCACCGACTCCGGGGCTTTGTTAGCCGTGTACGATACATTACCACTGTTGATAATCTTCACATGTGGTGGTGTTGTTTCTTGATCGGGATTTGCATATCTAATTATGACTCCAACAATCATTCCTTTCAAAAAGAAAAAGAATAAATGAGTGCTGCTGAAAAAGGATTTGATAAAATGAATAGTTTAAAAACATATTCTAGGAAGCTACATGGTCATATATAACAGGGCTTAACATTTCTTGCATGCAGCACAATTTAAGTAAAAAAATGTCCTTATTAAAAATTTGCACCTCCCTTCTAATTAAGGTCAAAATGTCTATTTCCCTGCTATGCCACTTTTTCAGATAAAAAATGCCAATAAATAGAATGCACAACACTTATATTATCCATTTTAAAATAACTTTAATACTATGTTCATTACAAAGTGCAATATTTACAGGTGTAGATTATCTCATAACTTTTTTATCTTATAACTTTTTTTAATGACCTGGGTAATTAATGTATTCAAGTTTTCAATTCTAACTGTATATGGCTGAAACTGATAATAACTCACAGCACGATGAATTTATCACAGATTTGTCTATTAAGGCATGGGTTCTTTACCGCAACAATCCCAAATCCCCCTCCTCCCCACAAAAACGGGCCCTGTCTGAAATTCAGGGATGTCCACTGCCTTATTGTGTCCCCATTCCCAGTTCAAAAGGGTACATTTTTCCCACTTAAATTTGAAAAATTTCCAAACAGTAATTTCCTATTAGATTAAAAAGCATATAGATTCACATTTAACTTTTTTTCTCTGGCTACCTTTTAAAAGGAACAATGTAAGAGCACTGAAAAAATATGGGATAACTCTGAAAACGATTCTTTTTCCAACCTCACACAAGTCTGCTGTGCTTTATCATTTTTTTAAGCATATTTCAAAAATCCATCTGTTATGAATTAAAAAAAAATATCACTGTACTTTTTTAATTTTTATGACACTAGACTTTCATTATTTCAATCATGATGGAAATAAAACACATGATCTAAACAATATATAAACATGACAATTGCACCTTTTATTCACATGACATTGTGATTCTCTAAAACATTAGTTGTCATAAAAAAATGACAACCAAAATGATAACTTTTGAGAAAATGAGCACTACAGCAGCACAAAACGTGGAGACATTTCGCAACATTTCCTGCAAAAATCACATGACAATGTACAACACATTTTGTAAAATGGCTGTTTCGGGACGTGTAAGAATACAATGTACAGACATCAATTAAATCTTGTACACGCAGACTTTACCGTATATCATTGACAACCCCGATTCATGCACGAATCGAAACCGGCGGAATTTGAAGAACCAGATTGTAAGAATAGTAAGAAGAAGCAGGCCGAGTAACATCAAAATGGTGGAACTGTCGATTTTATGCGTCTTTATAACTTGTCTCTCTTCTTCCTTTTCGATGGCTGGGTCTAATTCAGCAGGTTTAGTATCTGCCATGACATAGATATGCTCTAAAAAGCTAAATAGCACGGATGTCAAACACAGAAACTTCATTTTGACAGCCATTTTCGGACCTGCCCCTTTTTTATGACAATATTAACTCGTTCGTAGAAATGAGTTCTTTTGTTGTTATGTCGTACCAAGAAGTCTATTATAGATGTTTAACAGTAGAAATATATTTTTAATGATAAATAATGAAAACAATTGACTATTTTAAAAACGGACAGAAAGGATAAATTGAGGAAAGAAGAAAAAGGTAGGGGTGACAGAGAAGTCCAGAGTGAAAGAGAGATCAAGAGTGATCAAGAATAAGCCAATGATTGAATGAGCAGAACAGAACATTTTATTACTAATTTAGAGCCCATAACAGACAAGTATGAGATTGTTATAATAATAAGGAAAAGATAAGAGAGCAAAACAATTATACAATTAGTAATTGACATAAATCATTTTAACAATAATCCTGCCTAAAAGGAATACATCAAATATGCATATGATTGAATGAGGAATAAAGAAGCTCGGAGGGTATTCAATATTGAATGTAATATTCTATTATAAAAAAAAATTGATACTTTTAATGTAATATATATTCCCAAATGCGTTTTTATGACTTATTGATGTAGTTTAAAGTACAGTCCGATGAGAAGTACTTTCCAATGGGGGAGGGGTGTAAGTTGTAGGGGTTCTACCAAACACACACCCAAAAAAAATCCTTGAAAAGTAAAAAAAAAAAAAGGGGGGGAGCATCAGACAGAATTATGGAGGGACACAGTCATACACTGATAAAGTGCACATATCGAAAAAAAATTATGGGGGGGGGGGGGAGGGGGTGCCTTAAAATTTTCATAAAATTCGACACCATTATGAGATATGAACTGATGAAGATAGTATTAGGCTATTGAATGGAGTAAAGTGTAGGAGGCCTATAGTAACATGTAAAGCTGACTAAATGATAATTATATGAAATTTATATAATTAGTATACGACAATTATTATAATATCGTGTACTTATTATACAGTTTTCTGAGTCATATAGTACATTACACATACACATTACCATCAAAATTTCTAAGTGATGACATAAAAATATTTTATATAAATAAAAAATTGGTTTGTTTGTAGATTAATTCTAAAATCTAAAGAACACACACAAACACACATTAGCTTTAAACCTCAAACCAAGTTCTGTTTTAAAAGGGGGTACCTTTCTAGGAATTTTATCCCAAAAAACTTAAAGAATCAATCAAATCTATGAGAATACAAACAATGTGCATTCATACAATATGTGGTCAGTTTTGGCCAAAAGGGTAAATTCTCTCCAGTGATAGAAGCTGGTGATTTTATTAATTTCAACTTCCTGGTCTCTGGATGTGATAATTTTCCTCAGATGACCGAGCACACAGAACAAGATCATGGTACAGACTGGTATAAAACTAATTGAATCTTTATTTAAACAGACGAAAATAAATAAACAAGATTGTAAACATACATTAGTCATGTTTAAAAGTGTAATTGAAATTCACGAGTGGCTGCACTTTGTCGTTCCTTCACTACTGGCCACTTCAAGGATGACCAGCTCTGGCGAAACAAACAAGTTGGCCGAGTACCAACTCCAGCTAATTGTCGCCTTCCGTAATCCTTTTCTTCCTCGTCCAGAAATCAATCCGTTAGTGTACATTATTGTTATATCTAGTGGTCACCGATCGGTCATCATGAAAAAATACTTTGTCTTATTGTGGATGAACCTGTGCATATTCCAGTTAGGTAATTCTCTCTCTCTCTCTCTCTCTCTCTCTCATTTTAAGTATTCATTTAAATTTTCCGATAAAATGACATCTCTTGTTTTGAATTAATCGTGTTAAATGTATTAAGGACAGATGATACAAAACAAAAAATGGATGCCTAGATTAGTATATATTTTTTGGCCTAATTCTCTCTCTCTCTCTCTCTATTCTCTCTCTCTCTCTCTTCAAATACCATTTTAAAGAAAATTTGAAAAAATAACATAAAATAAAAACTACGCGGTGAAACCTATTCATTTTACGCACTAAAACATGACTCAAGTTGTTATTTTCAAATTTTTTGACAATTAAAGTCTGTTTGTATCATCTGTCCTTAAAAAGTTTCATACCCGGTAACTAAATTTGAATTAAATGATACCCCCGCCTCCAATATTTATGAGCTGTATAATGACAGTGTCCATGTTTTGCTATCACGGGAAACCCAAAATATGTGTCAGATCAAAAAGTAAAATGGGGGTGCACAATGGCAATATGTAATAAAGATTCTGTGAAAGTTTCATTAATTTTCACTCAGTGGCATAAGAGGAGTTGCGGATAAGAGATGGATACCCCAAAGCGTAACAGACGTACAGACGGACGGACACCCGGATTACTATATACCCTCCCAAGTGAGGGGTATAATTAATTAGGCCTATATTGATCAAAATGTTTTCAACTAAAGGCTCTATATAGTTGTATTTTCACATTTAGCAATATTTTACATAATAATTATCCCTTTAGGTGAATAAGCAAAAGAATTTATACTGATTCAGATAAAACATTGTCGGGTATATATATACAGTGTGCCTTAAATTGTGGTCTGAAAATGGCATATTTTTTTAGTTTGTTGCACAAGAGGTAACATTGAATACATGCTGTCATTCTTTAATGCATTAACATTAAAAAGTTTAAAATCTTATCGTCAAAAGAATCTATCGATTCGCCTGTGTTTAATAAAATTATGAGAATGACCATGAACGAACTCCACACAGCAATATTTGAAATTTATTTATATCTTCCTATTTCGTAAAATTCAATTTTTTTAAATTAAATTCTTACCCAAAACGTTATAGTGCATGTCAGATTCGAAAGATTTCGCTGCAATATCTTGACTAACTAGAGGTACTGTGAACAATGAGCTCACTTAAATGATAACACCCCCCCCCCCGCACCCGCCTACCATATGAATATAATGGCAGTGCCCATATTTTGGTAAGGGAAACCCCAAATATGTTCGGATCAAAAAGTAAAATAGGGGTGCACATTGTAATATATAACAAAGATTAAATGAAAGTCTCATCAAATTTCATTCAATTACATGATTTCATTCAGTGGTACGAGAGGAGTTGTGGATAAGAGATGGGTACCCCAAAGCGTAACAGACGGACGAACTGAAGAACAGACATCCGGACATTCTGATTACTATATACCCTTCCGCTTTTCAAGCGGGGGTATAATTATTGAACTTATGATATATTTTGAAGGTGAATGTCAGGATGAAGAAACGATGTTTATCAGTCTAAATCTAACAATGTCTTGGAAAGAGGGATGGACAGAATGCCAGAAAAGAAATGGATCCATCGCCGGCGAAGAAGAAGTAATTCAACAGCTTTTATCTGGCGGCCTCCCAGAAAATGAGTACTGGACAGGGATGCATCAGTATCTGTCGGATTGGATTGGGGTGGTGGGTAAGTTTAGGGTAGAAATACCTGACACAAAAGTATCCAGCCTTTTGTGTTTAATTATATATATTTTTTTCAATTATTAAAACTAGGGCTGGGACGATACAACCTTTTCTATATCGATACGTATCACGATATTTGAGCCACGATACGATATGTATCACGATATGTTTAATTGCTTATAAAATCTTTTTTTGCATTCAAATAAGCAAATTATTTCTTTGCAAATAAGAATACTTTATTCAAAATAGTTGTTTATATGTTGTAAAACAAAATTATTTTACTCAAGTAGTGTTAATTATTATTTATTTCATATCTATATTTATATTTGCTTATTTATTTTATATATTAAACCCCAAATGTGAAATAGTATATATCGATTTTCTTCAATGCGTATCGTCCTCACATATATCACGATATATCGATATCTCGATATATCATCCCAGCCCTAATTAAAACACAACTTTAACCTTTTACTCCTTGCAAATTGTTGAAATACTTACATGTATTTATTCAATAAAGCCAATCTATATGACCCCCCTCCTTGAGTTGAAAGACTGACTAAATACAGAGCTTAATTATTGTTGAATTAGATATTACCTGTTATCTTTTTTGATACTGATCCGATACAGTATCTGTGTTGTAGGATGGGATTACGAGAACACAGTAAGATCGGTAGCCCAGAGTACACACAAGATGGACAACCCGAGTCCAGGGGCCTGTCTGGAACTGTGTCAAACACACGTCTTTGCCATTACTGTATGTACTTGTATTATAAGTAACTACTGAATGATATACAACAATGAAAAATGTTGACTGCAGAAGAACTAATTTATTGCTTTCACTTTTTTTAATCAACAGAATTGGAAAGAGATAAATTAAATTTTACATAATTTATTTTACAGATTATAAGCAACTTTGGCAGCATTAACATATTATAATGAAGCAGCTACATACTTTGTTTAAGTATACATAGCACATTCAATCAGTATTAGAAAAAAATATAAAGACACAAATGTCCACCATTTGAATATTCAAATTGCTAACTATCCAGCATTTTCACAGGTTGTTTTAGATTTTGTTGTATTTGAAATTATATAATTACATGTATATCCCTTTCAGAAATTCATACACATGCACTTTTAGACTATCGCTTGCCTCCTGTACTACTGATGAATAATTTTTTAGTCTCTCGAGAATTATTGGTAGGTTATCACTGTTCTCAATGTTTCAGCACATTTCTTATCCAACAATTGAATACATTAACGGTCCATCCGAATTTTCAATCTAATTAAAATTAGATCCTTTACGCTCCTTTATTTTGTTATGTCGCTAGGGTTAGGCTTACAGCGACATAACAAAATAAAGAAGCGTAAAGGATCTAATTTTAATTAGATTGTCTGAATTTTAAAACTGCAGTGATTTAACTTTAAAAGTAGATTCCGTGAAACACCACACTTATATCAAATGAGAAACCCCAGCTAGGCATGTGGTTATGGTACACTGCTACATGAATAGCATAGAATAGAAAAGCTGAGTTTAAAGCTGTTTTCTAGTATGCTATTAAAGTCTGTCTCTGATAGAATATCAAAATATGAGGCAATTTTGTCAGACTCCGCGGTAAAGGTAATATTTAGGCAATATGAGCTGCATTTTTGAAAAAAAATTATTTTGGTGTTAAAATGTGTCATTATGATTATTTTGTATGTAATTAAAACCCTTATGATTAATAAAACCAAAATGAAAATTTAAATTTTTTCAGAAGAAATATTATTTGTACAATCGAATATATAGTATATAAGCAATCAATAATGTACAGGACAGTAATGTCATTTTGCTTCAATTAGAGCTAATTATAAAAAGTCCTTCCATCGCAAATATAAACAACAGGAGTTTATAAATGGTCTATTTTTCTGTCATTAAAATAGTTTATTACAAATTTGATTTCCAACATAATTTTCTCATGTCAAACTTGTAGCTCATATTGCTTTAAAGTATGCATTGTACTAATGTATACATGTATTATTTTGTATTGATGACAGAAGTTAACTACCTGTATTTCCTAAGAAATCTTTAATTCATACAGAGGACTAAAATAACCTAATCGAACTAGTTCAGAGTTTATCAAAATCGGTTTTCGTTAGAAATACATAAATAGAAAATATTTAGAGAATGTTCATATTTTTTTGTTGCTAGTCTCATATTGACCCCCTTGCACTACTACGGTATGATTTTACTGTTCTGTGTATTCCACAGAGAGGTGCGGTGTGTCTTTGTATTCCTGACTCCGCAGTCAACAGTAACCCGATCCAGTTCAGAAAAACTCAAATCTCCGTATGGACAAGATGTAACAACACAGAGACGCCCAACACGTGCGGGGGGATAACTAACAACCAGAGCATTGTCAGCTTATACGTGGATAGAACACACCTAGGTTTGTATATAGACTTAAACAAAACTGATTTTATAAATACTCATATAAACTCACCGTGACGGAATGTTCCGTCTACTGGAGTATGTGATCAATGTATCAGACTCAAGGTGGGTCTGACTGGTCAGTTAGGGATGATTATTCCTTAAAGACATCTGATCACACATTTGGTATTTTGGTGAATCCTTATTTCAGGTTATTTAAACTCTATTCACAGTTTTGTATTGTTTGTTGATTTTATTTTCAGATCGATCAGTGTTTTTTTTTAATTCATAATCACGATAAAAACAAGGATTCTTGACATTTTAGACATCTTCTTCAATAAAATGGAACCTGGAAATTTTTATGTCTTGTGATTGGTCATGTACAAAAGCAATCGTCTTTCTCTTGTACTGCGTAAATGGACAACCAAAAAGCTAAACAAAATCTGTAGCATGATTAGATAGTCTTATTTTTGAATGTTGAATAAGACGCTCATCTGCATATATTTATATCTGACAAGTTTCACTGATTCACAAGAGCTTGTTCTGAGAACGATCAATTTTTAAAACAGGACAGCTACTGACAACTCAGCTGATGTCACAAGGCTTTCAACAAAAGTGTTTAAAGTGAGATTCCTGCATTTACTAGTAGACATCATAATGATCCTGCAAAGATATCCTGTTGTTGGGTCGTATAATGACTGAAAATTTTCAAACCAATTCTTAGCGTCATAAGGCATTGTTTTTATACTGACTTTACCTACTAACTTTCCGTTTATTACCTGTCCATTAGGTAGAACTTACGGTGAATGTGACCAATTACTCATCCTAATCAGCTTACTAGTGTTCCACATGAGGTTCAAGACAGTGTGTGTTTTAGTCCATGTACAGGATTTATAAGACTTACCAATGTTTGTTATCCCAAAATGTTTTTATCTTGGGCTTCTTCAGTGTTTTTCAGATGTGATGCGTTTAAGACCACAGCTCGTTAAATTGTTGACAGCGAACTGTATCTAAATCTTGCTTCTTCGTTTTTCTAGATACAATTTGCAGCTATTTCTTTTGTAACAAATCTTGAAGTTCTAATCAAATTATGACACCTTCTTTGTTTACTTTTTTGAAGATTGCAATTTATGTACATGTACAGTGGACCCTCATTTATCCGGACGCTTTGGTTCCCAGTTAATTTGTCCGGATATGTGAAGCGTCCGGATACCTGAATCACCAGTCTAACAAGACAAAATAACATTTTAAAAAATCCGTTCCGATGAAAAATCGTCCAGATACTGAAGCATCCGGTTATCTGGCATCCGGATATCTGAAGGTCCACTGTAGTTCCTTTAATAGGCTACAGAGTAAAGTTTCAGACTTGAGTGACAGACTATTGGATATTTATATAGGGCATTTCAAATAAAACATATAGGTATTTAAGATATTTTGATAAACCATGTTTTTTCACATGTACCTAGCTTTGCTGGTATAGTGGTAGCGTCATGACAAACATAAGTAATACATAAACCGAGGGTTGTGATATATCTGTGATCGTCTTTGCTTAGTGTCTTTCTGACATATTTTTTCTATTTATCAATAAAACAGGAAAAATATGACTACTAGGTTTTCCTATGGTAGCTTTTAATATAAGAGGAATTATACACTCATAAGCTATCGTTATGCAAAGAATCTCTCTCAGACCAAATTTTCATTGTTTTGTTTATTTGTTTATGAAATACAGTATTGGTAATGGACACTTTTTTCCCACAGTGGTTCCTGGTATCACTGGTATGAATCAGTTGAGTATCGCTCAGTTTGATGGTAATTGTTTGACGGCCAGGTGTGACAACGAGAATGGAAACCCTGTTCTCCAGGGACGACAGTGTGACATCCATACGCCCTTTACTTGTGAAAACCCAAATTCTTCTGGTAAGTGAATATTTGTTTTTTGATTCTTTGAATTTTTTTTATAATACATGTATTTGATTTTTTAAAGGTGCATAGACAAATATTCACGTATTAATCAAAGCCATCCAAAAATTTAAAGTTTCAATAACTTTTAGATGAAATAATGTTTTTAATATATTTTCGTGTGAAATGCTATTACAATACATAAGTCGTGATATTATACAGAAAATATTAACTTCAGATCTGTGTCTATGCACCTTTAAGGTAACGATGTAACAAACACTTCGAAATATTAAAAAAGAAATATTTTAATTGGAGACTTAAGGCAGACGGGCTTTAAACTTGCGTTGAATTATTAATTAAATGCTCATAGAACAAACGTCGAGATAAAAAAGAAATTCTCGTGACGCGGCAAAACACCCTCATATATCAATCTTGCCTGATTACTGCGATATTAAATACTCAGAAGTGAAATATAAGGAAACAACGTACAACAGTCAAGCCCCAAAGTCCAAACAATACTTTGGAGCAGAGCAAACACGACCTCCAAAAAATCAAGTATTGGATCAGGTGCCATGGAGGTTGAGCATCCCGTGCCGACCAGTCACACCCACTGTGTTCTCCTTATCGTGATCGGGAAATAACGGAAAAATCAGTCGAACAATTCAGTGTATAAATAATGGTCAAACAATTAGTATGAAAAACATCAGTCAGCATTTGACTCAATGAGAAATTGTATTTGCTGACAAGGCCATTGCATCGATCAAAGAACTCATAAAATGATGACTTTAAACGTGACTTCTAACATTCTAGTTTCATCAACTTGTTTGTCATTAATTTACCTCGTTCTAGAAATTGTTCATACTTAGAGCATGCTCTTTCGTATCGAATCAAAAGAGAGATATAATCCCGTGTACAGGTGATGAAGGTATACTACTGCAGAAGTAGGGGGAATTGACGATTGAAAAGTTAAAGTCATCACGTTTATCACAAATCTTGGCTGTTACTTGAGTAGATTACCCTTAATGTCTTTTCAAGTAAAATATCCAAAAATAAAACGGATGTGTCGGACTCTGTAGTATCTTTTATTTCAAGTTCACGGGGTATTTCGTATCAACATAATTATATAAGACTGGAAATAACCATTGTTGATTGACAATACGCCGTCGATATACATGTCCGTATCTTAATGTGGAGTCACGACAAGCGTTTTCTTCTTTTAACGTACAAATTCTGAAGATGCTACAAATGTATTAAAATGTTCCTTCTTATAACAGCATCTATAAGTAGTCTTTGGTGACTATTTCTACCACAAATCACTATTTGTGCCCTTCTATCAGTTGATTTTTTCATTTCTCTAAAGCAGAATTGAAAGCTTTCACACGAGAAGAACTCTATCTGTGTCCTTATATTCGATATTTATATAAATTGATGATGTTCCATCAATTACTAGCTAGTTTCATTCATATATGGACTTGATATGCTAGTATTTCAATGAGATCGAATCAAGACACTGCAAATTCTGTTACATATGTTTGGATATTTTACTGATAATACCTGTAATTGTTAGACCATTTACCTCGTTTACACGGTTCACCGATGTAATCAGTCGACAGGGGATGCTTTCTTGTCCTAGGTACGTGATCCAACCTCTGGAGTTCACGACAGCCCCTGTACTGGCTCTGTCTCGTATTGCCTTTTTACTGGATTCATTATCTTCATTTTTTTTAACTTGTTCAAATGTATAATTCTGATACTAAGAGTTCCAAATTACTTGCTACTTAAGATAATTTAGAAATGTAAATATCAGGGAAACTATTTTACTTTAAAAGTACAATAAAGAAGATGTCTGAATGAAGATATCTGAGAAGGACTTATTGCCCTTGTCACAATTTTTCTAAGATTGAATATTAATTGATTAAATAATGAAAACAATTTTAAAGTTTTATATCTAAACAATATTTATCATTACACCTATTGAAAAGCATTCTTTTAAAAACATTGTTCTATCTTGGGTATGAATTTAAATTAATAACAGTTTTTGCAAAAACTTATGACATCATTGGAGGATGGAAATACCTTAATGGCATTTTTGATAAGGACAAAGACTGAATGTAAGAACCTTTCTTGTTCTCTAGGGACAGGAACGTGGGACCAGGTCTACTCCTACTGTTTGGGTGTCTCTTCTATTTACGCCTCTACTCTTTCCTGTCCTAGATTTACACTAAATCCTCGAAGCAGCGCGACAACCTACTGGATCGGTTACAAGAGGCAATTCTACTCCCGGCAAGACACAGGTCTGTTGGTTTGTATGTAAAACAAGAGGCAATTCTACTCCCGGCAAGACACAGGTCTGTTGGTTTGTATGTAAAACAAGAGGCAATTCTACTCCCGGCAAGACACAGGTCTGTATGTAAAACAAGAGGCAATTCTACTCCCGGCAAGACACAGGTCTGTATGTAAAACAAGAGGCAAGACACAGGTCTGTATGTAAAACAAGAGGCAATTCTACTCCCGGCAAGACACAGGTCT